TCATTAAGAAGGGTTTTGTGATTATCTGAATTGGTCGTAGAAAGAAGTTTTATGCAAGCTTATGCAGATTGTGCAGAGCAAGCTTTTGTATGAATTTGCCAAGAAAAAAAAACAGCTTTAATAAATAATCATGTTATTTCCCTGCTTTTTCACTCCAACTTTGGATTTGCTTACTGTGCATTATTCTCACCTCACCCCAGCATCCTCCACACACTCGCAGGAGTGGTGAAGAGGAGAGAGCGGAACCCTTGCACTTGTCTGTAGCCAATGGCAATTTTACACACGTCATGTCCAGCAGTGCCCCAGAGCACAGAACACTTGTTAGAGGATATGCCACTGACATCATCTGACAGGCACCTGACAAAGGCCTGACAAGGGCCCCAAAGGAAACCCACCCTACCCCAGCAGAATGGAGCACATTGTGTCCCATCACTGAAGACCCACTGTAATGACGCAGCCCAGACTCAAACATGTGACCTCTTGTAATGCAGGGCTCAGCTTGCATGAGCCCCAACAATAATCAGCAAATACCTGAAACTTGAAATTCATTTCTGTGAAAATAAAGCACAAATAGGATTTATAGTTCTGCAAAAATTCCGCTGGCTGCTGGCTGGAGGTTTTTGGCTGAATGCTGGCAACATTTGAGATGCTTACTCTGTGCTTAGAATTGAGCCGGATGCTTCTGTTTAATGGGCTTTATTGTGTTGCCTCCTTACAATGCCTTGGCCTACAACCCGCAAGGCACAATGAATTTCACTCAGGTTTGCCCTGGTTTTCATAAATCCAAACTAGGCCCAAACTATAACATTGGCTAGTTTCTTTAGTTGTTTGGTTTGAAATGTTTCATCTATTCAACTATTACACCCATGGGACAAACATTGTTTTATCAAGATGTTTTTATACCCCACAACCATAACAATCCCATACACACTGCTAAATGGATTCAAGAGAGGTTTTATGAACACCGGGAGGATGTCAAGTGCCTTCCATGGTCTCCCCCATCAACACAGAGCGTGGAGCAGATTTCCACTTCATTCATCTCTCAAAGAACTGGAAGCTTTCTTTATTGACTTATGGTCCAATATCCCTCTAGAAAAAAATCAGTTTATCAGCATTCCAAGAAAGAATGAAGCTGTTCTGAAGGCAAAGAGGGGCTGAACTACTTATTAGTTAGTAAATATTCATATATTGTTCAGTGTTTCCATTATTTTGTCTACCACTCTATATACACACTGTTGTCAAACAAACCAGTTATTGCACTTGCTGTCCACAGGGTGGTGTGAAAACACAACGGGAGCAAGAAGCACCACACACAAGCATTTCATGAGTACAGTCATAGGCAGGCATTTCATGAATCTCACACAAAGCAAAGAGGAAAAAAAAACAGAAAATACAGTGCAGTAAATGTACAAAAATGTTCAGGTTTGCCTCCAGAGTAAACAGTGATGTTGTTTTGAAAGTGCATGGAATAGATGGGTAGGTAGAGGGCAGAATTGTAGTTGCTGGAGATAAAGTTCTCATGATGACACAGGTTAAAAGCAATAGCCTTTGTGTGTGAACATGAAAGACCTAACCATAACCATCACCTAACCTTTGTGTGTGAACATGAAAGACCTAACCCTAACCATTTCACTAGTGACCCACAGATGCCACAGATGCCAGATATTTTCATGTAGTTTGCCACTAATAGAGGCTGACATTTTTTTTGGAAATCCTATAGTGATATTAGCAAACCATTTTTGGTTGCTTGAGGACTGCTAGAGCTTTGCCACTGGTGACAAGACAGAAGTTATAGGAACACTCAGCTGAGATGTAGCATTTGATTTTTTGTGGTTTTTAAGGTGAAATTTAGACTGGAGAAATTTTTGTTGGTAAACAGTACAAAACAGCCTTAAAATCCACAATGAAATTATAGTATTACATCTATACAAATTATTTATATTATAATATATTGTTATATATTTCCCCCAAAAGAACCTGCAAACAGCTGCAGAGATTCTGCTGTATGTCGTAACCTATTAAATGTAGTCTTGATATATTCACTGTGGCAGTGAATTTCTGCCCACCTCATACAACTGCTACAATGAAAATGTTGCAATTCAACATGCAGGTACCTGATTATCCAGCAGCATAGAGACTGTCCCAAGCCGGTGGCAGCCAGAGCTGTGACATCACAAACAGAATCCTAGTGTTTGAATTGTTCAGTCTGAGACGGTGTGTGTGTGAGTGGGATCAGCTGCAAGGTCAGTGGCATGTCATGTGTTCACACATATCTTCCAGTGACAGAGCACTCACACCTGCGTCCGTGTTCACAGGTGACAATCATCGGCTACACTCTGGGAATCCCGGACGTCATCATGGGCATCACCTTCCTGGCAGCTGGCACCAGCGTCCCCGACTGCATCGCCAGTCTCATCGTCGCCCGACAAGGTGCCCGCCGGTCCCTGTTGCTCTTGATTTAGAAGACTGTCTGTGTTCCCGGGACTGTTAGAGCCCTGGGGGACCGAAATTCTGTGCAGCTTCATTTGTGTGTCTACCAGCTGGGTTGTTTTCCGCATCACCTGTCAGGAGGAGGGGGAGAGTGCGGGGGGTAGTGGGATGTCACTGTAAAGTGCCTCCTCTTTGCCTCGCAGGTCTTGGGGACATGGCAGTGTCCAACACCATCGGCAGCAATGTCTTCGACATCCTGGTGGGCCTGGGCGTCCCCTGGGCGATACAGACCGTGGCCGTCAGTTACGGCTCAGCGGTGAGTCGCCCGCCCTCGCCTCAGCTGACAGACGGGCACCTCGAGACCAGCTCCGAGGGTGGCTCACTGTCACCATCTTACAACACACATTAAGAGAGATGGGGGACCAAAGCCACCACAGAACACTTTTTCCAAGTTTGAAAAGACCAGTACAAACTGTGCCATGTGAGTTGTGTTGTGGCTGTGATCAGCCTGGACTGGTCGTTTGGGCCCCTCGCACATCAGATGAGAAAACTGACTGATTTAATTAGTAAATATCCATTTGCTAGCCACCTTCAAGACATGATGTGCAGTAGTTTCACCAACTGAACTACAGATACAAATGCCCAAATGTGCCTGGCTGTTGTTAGGAGACCAATTTTCAGTTGGATTTTCATCACCATTGTTTTGTTGTCGTGGAGTGTGTGCAGTTGCTTTCTGTTCCTCAAACCTCTTATTATGCCAAATATGATACCTATATATTACAGTACAGTGATCCATTAAGTCCACTCTTTGTCTCAGTGCTTACACGACTGCCACTTTTCAACCACTTACATTGTTTCTGTGAATTGTGTCTTTTACTTTGCTCCTGTATCTGATCATATCTTACTTTGCGACCTGTATCTGATAAAAATTTGATTGAGTGGATTGTAAGCTTGGAGGAAATGAGTGGTTTGTTGAGGATCTCAGGTCCTGTTTTGTGAGCAGCTCTGACTCACACGTCACTCCTGGTCTGCTCAGGGAAACCATAATGTCTGCACCCAAAGGCCACAGTGCTGAGGGCCAACTCAATCATCAGTGCAGTTTGGCCAAAGTAAAATTGATTTTTCCATCTGTTTTTAAAGCTGAAGTGGCAAACTTTCAGCTTCAGAGCTGAAATCCTGTATGGCGGCAGCCATTACTGTGGTGACATGTTCACTGCATAATAATAGCTTGTAATGCTACAGGTCCTTCAGTCCTCTGGACAGCCAAACAAACAATTCCATTGCAATTCCAGTCCTTAATCAGAGAGACAGAGTACTTACTGTGCATTGTGTTTATTTTGAGCCTTACTAAAGGACATGGCCAACAGCTTCTGTTCATTTCAAGCTCTTGAAACTGGTTTGGTAAGAGTTACCATTACGTCAAAGTTTATTTCAGTTTTTTTTCAGTTATTGGCTTTATTTTGTTCTACACAGCAAAAATCTCTCTGACTCAGTATTTCCATTCAGCGGCGACCCACCTGAAGCTCACCTGTTCTGTCATTTCCTGAATGCGTTTTGCACGCCAGTGTTTTTTTTGCCCCACATGGAATCCATGTCCGCATTACTCATCAGCAGACAGATAGCTGTGGAAATCTGCTGAACTTCTTCAATTTGGAGTTCCTGAAAATATTGCCCCATGTAGCCAAAGCATGCAGTCATTTGCAAAAAATTTCCCACCGTCACCCAATCTTATCTGCTATGTGTTTGCAGTCAAAAAAAGCCACACAGTTTTTGGTAACCGATACTGATTTCCTGTGTGAGATTCAAAACATTTATGTAGTGAGAAGATCTGGTTAGATCTTGGGTTACAGATACACGCATGACTGCTTTTACCTCAAAACAAGCGTTTTCATTCATTTCATTTTGGACATACAGTAGTATACACACTGCAGCATACAGTACCATACAATACATGGTGACATGTCCTTATATGCAGGCCACTGTTGAACTGTTTAACCTGACAAAGAATACTGTCAGTGGAAGTATTGCCAATGCCATACTTTGACTAAAGTACTCATTTGCAAGCATTAAAAAATGTGCAGGTTGACTGTCGCTGGGTGTGCCTGCGAATCGATGGGACTATGGCGTTTGAGTGCATCGGGTTAAAGCAGACTGTGCTTCCCCCTATCTCCTCCCTGTAGGTTCAGATTAACAGCCGGGGACTGGTGTACTCAGTGGTGCTGCTGCTGGGCTCTGTGGCTCTGACTGTAAGTACATGCCTGACTCTGGTTCTACACCTGTATGCCTGTTCCTGTTTATGTACGTCACGCCTGCTCCTGGTTCTGTACCTGTATGCTTGTTCCTGGCTATATCTCTGCATGGCTGTTCCTGGTTCTATACCTGTCTTCCTGATCCTGGATCTGTACCTCTATTCCTGATGCTGGCTCTACATCACGTTATGTCATTTAGCAGACACTCTTATCCAGAGCAACATACACAGGTTACAGTTTTTGCATATTAACCATTTATATGGCTGGATATTTGCTGAGGCAATTGTGGGTTAAGTACCTTGCCCGGGGATACAGCAGCAGAGCCCCAGTAAGGAATTGAACCAGCAACCTTTTGGGTACAAGCCCTACTCCTTACCACTATGCTACAGTGCGGCCCCTAATATTAGCTAATATTAGCATATATGCTAATATTATATTACTGTATAATATTATTAGCTATATTAACTAATATTATAATATTAATGTCATGTCATTCTATGCATTAACTTCAACTCAGCATAGCATTATAGTATAAAGGATAGCTGAGAGTGGCTAAATGTCGTTCTCTCCCTGCTGTCTCCTCTGGGCTGCCCCCCATCCCTTCTGTTTCTCCCCTGGCAGGTTCTGGGGATCCATGTCAACAGGTGGAAGCTGGACCTGAAGCTGGGGGTGTATGTGATGGTCCTGTACGCCGTCTTCCTCTGCTTCTCCATCATGATCGAGTACAACGTCTTCACCTTCGTCAACCTGCCCATGTGTCAGGAGTAGCCTTCGCGCTAAGCTCCGACCAACCCCCTCTACCTTTACCCACCCCACCATCCCACCACCTTGGCAAAGCCCTGATCTTCATACCCTTCTCACACCCCTAATCCTGCCTTGGCCCCAAATCCAGACATATCAGTTTTCCCTATACACCCCCCCACCCCCTGCCACCACAAGCCAAGATTACAACATCGCTTCCTCAGTGATGGATGTGGAGTAGCCTCTCTCCTCTCGCTGTTCACCCGACCCAGCTGAGAGGGGTGGCTTTCAGATCTCCCTCAAGAGCCTTCCAGCCCAGGGGAGAGATGATCACATCTCCCTCCAGAGCTTCTAAACCCAGGGGAGATATGATCATATTTCCCTCCAGATCCTCTAAAACCAAGAGAGGGACCATGACATTTCCCTCCACAACCTCTCAACCCAAGGGAGGGGCAATCATACCTTCCTCCAGAACTCCTTAAACCAAGAGAAACCCTGTCACATTTCTGTTCAGAACCTCTCAACCCTGAGGAGAGACAATGGCATGTCCCTCCAGCACATCTTGGACCCAGAGACTGTCACATCTGTCCATCCAGGACCTCTCAACCCAAGGGAAGGGACAATCACATCTTCCTCCAGAACCTCTCGAACCGGGGGAGAAACTGCCACGCCTTTCCCTTCAGACCATCTCGACCCAGAGGAGAGGTCCTGCTCATTGGCAGCTGTTGTTTCTCTCCGGGTCACATGGCAGTGGACAGACTCACCCTGAACTTTTGTCAATCTTGTCATAGGACCTTTCTCTCCTCAGAACAGGGTACTCTGCCACTCTACTTTTCTACAAAAGATCATCTTCCTCTTTTTCTTTGCTGTCATGCTTTTTTTTTTACATGATTGTATTTTTGGTCTGGCAGCTCAGGGTGTCAGCCATGAGTCCGAACAGTCCATCAAACATAGCTGCCAGGAGCACTGCACAATGTGAACTTTTTATTCGTTCATAGTTTCTCCTTAACATTTTATTTAAAAAAAAAAACAAAACAGTGAAGAGAAGAAAATGAAACATGTTTGAAGATGTTGCACTTTAGAAACAGGCTGTTTAAACACACAGAAATGTTTAGTAATGTGTTTTGGTTCGGGAAACATTCCAGTTCTTTCTTATATGGTGCAATAAAAGGAGGGTGTTTGGGGCCACCCCACTGATGGTGTGCCCCCCAGACCCCCCAGATGAGATGCACCCTCCACAAGTAAGAGACAACTGCACAAGTATGTATGTGGGTATTTGTGTGTGTGTGTGTGTGTGTGTGTGTGTGTGTGTGTGTGTGTGTATGCATGAAGCATAAAACAACGTGATAATGTAGAAGAAAATAATGTGGGCGAGAGTCTGTGAGTGTGTGCTCATCCACATGTGTGAGCGTACGTGGTGAAAGCATGTGCCGGAGCGTGTGTGCGAGTGTACGTGTAATGACTTAAAAACTCCCCTGCTACATCCAGCAAAACAGCCAGGCTGGTTGAGCAAAGCGTAAAGGAGAAGTTGGTTTTCTTCCCTCAAAGAGGAACATTCCCACGTTGAGGCAGGTGATGAAGGCACAGGCTTGTAAGCTCTGATGTCCTAAGTCTCATCAGGCCTCCCATGATGGCACGAGTTGCACAACAGCGGTGACACACGACCGAGTATCACATCAGCTGGATCCCTTCTCTGTCGTCACTGAATTCCAGAGGAAACCATCGCCGAATGTCCCCTCCTGTTCCATTCTGTCCCCTCCTGTGTACAGCTGTGACAAGGCCTAGACAAATGAAGAGTGGAGCTGAGGCACAGGTCCACTGAGCAGCTGTGCAGTTGGACAGACCCAAAATTAAGGTACAGAGACTGACTGCGCAGTTGGATCAGAGTCAAGGTGGAGGTGCAGAGACTGAGAGCTGGGGCACAGCTGGACTGAGTGACTGCGCAGTTGGACAGAGCCAGGGTGCAGGTGGAGGGGATAACTGCGCAGCTGTGGAGAAAGTGTTAAGGAGGATGCCCAAGGCTCTTGCATTCCAAGCCTCCTTCTCCCGCACCCTGCATCCGTGTCACTCTGATCTCCCGATCCACACATTCCGGCCCCTGTCCCCCCGACCACCCCCGATCCAGGGAGGGGGAAGTCGGGTCACCTGTGAGTGGATGGAGCAGGGCAAGGAGGACTGCTGTCTACCTCAGAGGCGCTGATCTGAGATCTGTAATCCGTTGCATTGAGTGTTAATATGATGGGAGTGTCCACACTGTCCTGGACCCACAGAGGTCACTCCTTTGGCCTTCACACTCATGCCTCCACACTGCCCCCTGGTGATATGTCTTGGGATATCAGCCTTTGCTTGTTTTGGCAGTCAAAGTGGGTGCATACTGTGTTTTTTTTTTTTTTTGAGGGGACACCCTGTATGCATTGGGAAAGACAGGAACACCAGCAGGATCTCTTGTTTTTACGGGCGCTCCTGTCCTGAATGACGGAAAGGCAATATGTAAATACGACACTTAACGAGCTGCACTCCTCCCCTGAGGAAACAGCGCTGGGGTGGGCGGGGCAGGTACCGCTGCTCTGCCTAATTTGGAGTTGCACATTTCCCCCTGCCCCTCACAACTGTCCGACCCCAGCCGATCCAACTCCGCCCACTTCCCTCGCTGGGGGCGTTTTGTCTGCAGTGCATGCTGGGACGTGGGGCAATTCTGTGAAAGTCCACAGCAGAGGCATTGGGCCCTTGGTGTCCGGTCAGGGTTCCGGCACCGGGAGGGTCGACCCTGCTCACCTCACAAATCGGCAGCTATCTGTTGATCAGTTGTTACTTCATGCAGAATCTCCCGCCGGGGAGCAGAGTGTCTATATCTTTTGTCTTGGTGTCAAGTGTTGAACATGTGGGTGTTGATGTCAGTGTTAAAATGTAACTGTTGCTGTGTCACTGCCATGAGGCAGGTGTTGCAATGTCCGTATATGCAATCTCAATAAGAACAGCCCTGGCGTTGGTCTCTGGCAATAGGCGATATATATGCATTCCCAGGAGCTGATGAAAATGTCTGTTCCCCAATATCTTGCAAGGGTTCTTTTTCACTCGTATCTCCCTTTATCACTTTCTGACTCTCTCATGTCACACACTATTCTATAGGGGACGGGGCTGTTATCTGCCCTTTCTACTTCACAGTCACAGATATTGTATTTACTAATGAGATATGTCTGCCTCTTCAGATGTCTCTGCCCCCCTGTCCGTTGGGCTTTCTTGTTTGGGAGGTTCCAGTGCTATCTGCATTGTTGCGCGAGCCATAGATATTCTATGGATATCAGTGCTCCTTCTATGAAAATTCATAAAGGCCCAGCAAATCAAAACACTTTGAGCTTCAACAATGGCAAAGGCAGAACATTCTCAGTGTAAAGCACATGCAGCTGAATATCTTGTTAGTATGTAGAATATCTGTGCCCCGGTGTAGCAGCTGGAGAACTTAGGAGATTGAGTTCTGTAAGAGACAACCAGTTATGCTAAATTGAATCTGACATAAACAGTACCAGTCAAAGGTTTGGACACATTTCTTTATTTTTACTATTCTCCACATTTTAGAATAATAGTAAAGACATCAAAACAATGAAATAACACAAATGGAATTATGCAGTGACCAAAAAAGTGTTAGAAACAAATCAAAAGTATCTTATATTTTAGATTCTTCAAAAAAGCCAAAAATGCTTCTCAAAATTACATTTTTTTTGGAAAGAAATTCATACATAGGCATCAACTTCATTATTTATATTTGTCTATGGAACACATTTCAAGCATTTAAGCATATGTCTTTAGATCTAAATGTCTTTGAGTGCATGTTTCCCATTATCTTAATCAGGCGTATCCAACCTTTTGACTGGTACTGTATGTAGAGTTCCATAGACTCCTGTGAAGCTGGGTGAATGTCACAGAGGCATTATTAACGGTGCAGGGATCTTTTCCTGTTTTCCAAACAAGTGGTTAAAACACTCTCCACTCACGTTACAACATGAGGAATCTGAGCTGGCTGTACAGGAACCCAGGGTTATTGATTCCTTCATACGGTACTTTTTAAATTCTCCTCGACTAAGAGAACAAAAATGTGATGTATTTCTCTGTGAGCGTGGTGGAGTTTCCAAGCCCCAAAGCTGCTACTCCACTGGGGGCTTGCTGTGCGCCTTTTGGGGGGAGGTGACCACATGAGACCTCCCTGACCTCTGACCTCAGTGCTGTGCACTCCATTCTAGGGCACCCTGGCTCTCCACCTTTGATGTCTATACCTAATAATAATATAATAAAAATAATAATAATAAGCACAAAAAATAGAATAATAATAAATGCATTATTTTTTATATTTTCAGAGACAACCTACAGTCACAAGTGAAAGTTGTGTAGCTGGACCTCCTTAGTTTTTGATTTGTCCAGGAAAGTCAGGTAACATGCTGTCCCATGTGGTCACGCCCCCATTGGAGGTGATAACTGTCCCCTTGTGTTTATTACAACAGTCCAGCAAATTACATTGTGATATTTTACAGGATATGTACTTCATACCTCTTTACTAGAAGTCACTTTTATAAGGTAAAAACGGGAGCCATAGATGTAATTATTTTATGGGATATTGATGTACGTGCACACACCTTTACACTCCTTTCCACATGCATGC